TTCCAGGAAGGCTGCACCCGTGAGGGCCCCACCTGACCACCCCGGGCTGGCCTGGGAGCTGGCTCACGCTCGCGGGCGGGCGCAGGGCCCGCGGAAACCCAGCACCAGCCTCAGCTCGCGCAGCTGAGCTAAGCTGCGGCCTCCTCGCCGCCGGACGGGGATGGGGGGTTCAGGACAGAAGCACCCAACCCCACGCCGCGGCCTGACGCCGCAGCCACGCCTCCCCTGCATGACACCCAAACACCTGGCCACACGAGCGCGGGGACCAAGGGGAGCCGACTCCCGTGGTCCCCAGTCCCCACGCAGCCCGTCACGTTAGCTGCGGTCATGTGCTCCGCTCATCTCCTGTGGCTGCAGGCAGCTGACTGTCCACCCAGAATGGCTACAGCCACGATCCTGTCCTGCTCTCTGCTCGTCACGTCTGTCTCCCGCGGGGCTTGGGCACCGTTGGGCACAGAGACATGTCCTGAGGTGAACAACCTCCATCACCGACAGACAGAGTCTCCAAACACAGCAAGTCTCCACCGGACCCCGCGAGCAGCGAGGTTCATTTCTATCACACTTCATTCTTCCTCAGTTACTTAACGAAGAGATTACTTACCTGAGGATAAAGAGAGAAGGAATCTGATAACCTAAAGGAAGTGGGGTCTTCTTTGTTATACTGTCCAAACTTCTGACACTGTTGAAAGAAAATAAGAAGGAAAAAAAAACTTAAGTGAGTGCCACCTGAGAAGTCCTTGGCGTAGGACGCCCCACGCCCCACGCCCCACCCTGCCCCTGCCCGCCCGAGTCCCAGACGAGCACCACTTGGCCCTGGTCACACAGACGCGACACTCAGGTGTTGTTAAATGATTCAGCAGCTCGGGGGAGGGGCCGGAGAGGCTGCGATTCTAACCAGCTCCCAGGCATGCTGGCCAAGGACCACTCTGCTTGTGAGCGGCTGGGGGGCTTTCGCAGGCACCTCTCCCGCTAGAAAACCCTCTAAGGCCACGAAACCCTTGCAGTCACAGAGAACCCTTGATGCTCTGTCACTCCACCGCTCAATTTTCCTCCTTTCTTTGAGGCAAATTTCTGAACACTTTCTCTTTGTGCCTTTATTTCCTCTTTGTTTCCCACGTTCCTCTGGTCACTAGAAAATCAGGCTATCTGAAAGAAAGTGCATCTCTACAATGACCCTCCTTCCTAGCAAACCCCTGCAAAGGCCTCACCTTCCCAAACTCCCCGCCACCACGAACGAAGTGACTTCCCACACTTCCTGAAACTCTCTCCTTCAGCTGCTAAAACAGCACTTTCCTAAACCTTGTCACCTCTCCAAATAATCCTCCTTTGCCTCGTTCAAGGGCCCCCTCCCCCCACCACCTCTGAACTCGCTGCGGGCTCCTCCAGGGTGAGTTCTTGGCCCCACGCTCCCACCCCCACTGCCTCAGCGACAAGTAACACGAGCCAGACTGGTGCCACCTGAACCCCTCCCGCGTCCAGCGCTGGCCTCTGACCTGAGCCTGTCAGGGCTTCTCCGGCACAGGGCAGCTTTCCTTGGAAGAGTGCTTTTCCAGTTCACATTCAAGAGAAATCAAATGATTGCATTAAAAGGGGTGGGGTCGCCTCCCTCCACTCCGAGGCTGCCCGCCTTTCCCCTGTCCTGCCCTCAATTCTTGCATTTACTCACACCTGAAACTCGAGTCAACACTGATTTTTTTCATTTTTGAGTCCACATATAGTTTGACCGAATTTTACCACTTCTTCTCTCAGCATACATCCTGATTCCAAACCTCCTCTTCCCTCCAACTGTGCTGCCACCACCCTGGTCTCAGCCGCCTGGAGCCTGCAAAACCCTCCACTGTCTCCCTACCAGCAGTCTTTCCACCTCAAACTGATCTTAGACAGTGACAGGCAGTGTGAACACAGGAGTCGCGCTGGTATCACACCCCTGCTTGAGAAGCACACTTCAGTCTTCCCCTCTAACGCCGAGGCTGTGACCTAACTCTAAAGTCAAGGCTTGGCACGATCAATCTGCACCTTCACTGCTGCACCCCAACCGCACATGCTGGCCACCTGTGACAGTTGTCCCTTCCGTGTCCCCAGTATAAACAGACGCACAGCTACATCCCTAAGGCTGGCCTGTGCTGAGCCCTCCACTTGGTAAGGCTTGCCTCCTACTTTTTAAAAAGACTTGATTTGAGGCTCACTTCTCACATGAAGCCTTTGCCAACCACCTGGACCCGCTGCTTGATTTCAAATTGTTTGAAACGTTGACATTCCCTGAGAAAATGGTTCCACAGGACAGCAAGGGCACACGTGGGCTACACTAGGTTAAAGAGGTGCTGTTACTGGGTCTCTCAGTGCCTCTGATCACTAATCCGTGCTGTGAATTTCCAAGATGGTAAGATCACATGGTATGTCAGCTACTGACTTACTCCTTCGTGGCTTCAAACTTACCCTTTTTGCCTGCCGTGAGATGGATGCAGGCCCTTCCAATCTTCCTCCTCTGCCAGCTGCCTGGTGCTGGCAGCTCCCCCAGGGCTGAGCAACGGCAGCCCCCGGCCCCCCTGTGCCTCTGGTGAGACACTCCTGGTGAAGGGTTTCCTTGGCACCATAGAGGGTTGATTTCCGTCCAGTTCTAGAAGGTGAATTTCTACCCAGTCCCTCCTGCAGGCCCCCCGGCAACGTCTCTGCCCTGAGAGACTCGGTGGGCCGTGGCCGTGGCCCC